CCCCAAAACCCCAAAACCCCAAAACCCCAAAACCCCATAATATTAAATAAATACTGAAAGTTAGAAGCATGAAACCAAAAAGAAGAATGATGAGGAGTCCAATGTCAACGGTAAGCACATATAGCCTTATTCTTGGTCATAAAAAAATTCCTGTTTGGGCATTTCTCTGTGCTAGAAACTTAGCCTAGACATCTTAACCCTCAACCGCATCTTGCACGGATTGGTGGGGGAGGGCTTCTAAGAGCTCATTTAAAATGCGCAATGATTTTAGTAGGTTAAGCTCCTAAATTTGTCATTTCTCGTACATAACTGTAACAATTGGAAAACTAATTTTGATTTAGTCACATTTGGTTCCGATAAAGTCGAGCGATAACCTTCCTCTGATTCCAAAGAAAAGTACTGGGAAGTAAGTATATACTAATTTCCTTGACCAAGGGTATTTCACTTATTCTATTAGACTATGATCGAGCAAGGATAGAGGGGGTTCAAATTCCGACTCTGTTGATGCTCACCTACTATCTTTGGAATTAATAAATTTTCATTCATTTTAATTTAATAACACATATTTTAGGCTTCACCGGTTTCTTGGGAAATATGAAGGATCCGAAAATAAGGTCAACGTCCCTTGTTTTCTTTCCCGAGCTAAGCTAATAAAACCAGTTATTCTTACTGAGAACAGAATCGGAATCAGAGATATTAGCGCAAAGATTAATGAAAATTTCATAAAGTACAAATAAGTGGACCATTATCAGAGACTTGCATAGTGTTAGTCTCAAGAAGTTTCTATCATTCAACTCAACCGTGATAGACATGGATGAATTCACTGCTTTCAGTTCCAAAGCGGTTCAGGAGACAATTAATAGTGCAATGGTCAAAGGAACTTGGGTGACACTACATTATCAAGAAACTTTATGTTCAATTAGTAATCTGGTCAGGAACAAGGTGGTTCCGCCTGAGATTCTCGAGCTAGGGAATCTGATGACCCCTTTTGATGAGAATTTCAGGCTCATCTTTGTGTCTTCCAAGCTGGAGTATCCAAAATCCATGCTTGAAAATTGCATTCTCATCGGGATTGAAGAGGAGAAATTATTGATGGAGAAAGAACTTACCAAATTCAAAAGAGTTAGAGGTGTCAACAAGAAAGACCCAGCTCGTATGCAGATGGAAAATGAGTTTGTAGAAGCTTGCTTTGAAGGAAATCTTGATAAAGTCAAAGAAATGCTCAAAACCCCATGGGTCAATGCTAATACAAAAGACCTTAACCTCAACACCTGTTTAATGCAAGCAGCTTTGAAAGGACATCTAAATGTTTGTAAAATACTTCTCTATCACAGTAACGGTCAGGACATTCAGGAAAATATTGAAGAAACCACTGAAATGCATGTGCCAAAGGAGCCAAACCTTAAATAAATTGGATGTGAATTCTGTAAATTATGACGGGAAAACTGCTCTTCACAAGGCAGCATACAACGGTAACTCTGCCGTGATAAAGCTCTTACTCCTCTACGGAGCAGATCCTGAGATAGTTGACTCTAGTGGCAATAAGCCGATGGATTATATCAATAACCAGGAGGCTAAGTATATTATGAAGAAGTGGAAGCCTGAATGGGCTCAAAGATCAAAACCACTTAAATGTACTAAGGAGTTTGAAAATCCTGATAAGATCGATATCAAAGAGCTTTCAAGGAAAATGAAGAAGAAACTCCAAGAGTTTTTAATTGAAAAGGCCAGGAATGGAGAGTACTCCAAGATCTATAGTTTTGTGTCGAAGGGCAAGGCTACCGTAGAGACTAAAAACTCTGATGGACAATCATTGTTGAGCATCGCTGTTGTATATGGGCATTTTGATTGAGTCTATAGGATGCTCAAAGAGCTTAGTCCAAATGTTAATTCAAGAGATTCAAAAGGCTGGACTCCACTTATGAACGCAGCTTTTAATGGATACTTGAAGATCGCTAAGCTATTGATTTCCCATGATGCTGATATTAATCTGAAAAATGACCAAAATATGAAGGCCCTTGATCTCGCAAAAGGAGAAGAATTGAAGAAATATTTTATCCAAGAAACTAGAAACGCCCATATCTTTGATTTCGAGCAAATCCTTGAGCTTAGTATGGTCAATTCTTCATCAAAATAATAGGATTTATATTCCAAATCCATATAAAATTGAACATGAAGAAGAGGAAGGGAACAGATCTCTTTTTGAAAATTTAAAAAAGGCTAATAAACAGATACATCAAAATTCTAAACCAAAGCCAGCATTAATGAGATCTCAGGACTCTCATTTATTTAAGAGAAAGAGTAGGGTATTCTCTAATAAATCTCCTTCATCAAATCGGCGAGTGCACAAAGCAATTCAGAACCAAAGGCACATTAACCTAAAGTCGCGTTGTAAGTATGATCTTCTAACTTCTAGCAAAATTACTAAATTCAAAATCTAAAAAGAAGAGGAAGTGTTTTAGCCCAGATATCACTGCTAAAAATGGTCATTTCTTGTTATTAGACCATCTCTAGAGCTCTATAAGCCATCAAATTATATAATTAACGCTAATGTAGAAGTATGCTGGGGTTTTGGGGTTTTGGGGTTTTGGGGTTTTGGGG